AAAAGGCTTGCAACTACAAATCCCAATATAAATGTATTACAACATTTATTACCAAATTCTCTAGGCTACACATACATTTGTGAAAGATAGTAGATAAGGAATTTTGAAATTAATTTTGAAGAATGTATTATAAAAATACAGGAAATAATTCTAACGAGCTTTGGCTAAGAAAGAAAATCACTGATATGGAGCATGAGCTGAAGCTGAGCAATTACATTTTCACAATTGCAGCTTTTTATTTTATTTTTTTCTATGAGCCAGTGAGTGTTTGAAAAATGGAAGTTTTAAAATGTAAGGCCTCTTAAAAAGGTCGCAAGAGCAGAGCACTATAGTTTCAGCCTCATTTAGCCCCAAGCATTTCTGGACAGGCTTAGGAACAGGGCAGCAGGGCTAGTGGGACCGGCATGAATCTGGAGTCCCATGGAAAGAGAGAATCACAAAGGATGAGTCAGCCTGGGAGGCAGGGCACTGTGCCAGCTCCCAGGGAGGGCAGTTGGAAAGGACCGATCTTGGAGAGTGTCTCATCTCATCGCTGCATGTTACAGATGAGGAAACTGAGGCACAGAGGGGGAACTGTGTCTGGCAGGACCTGGCAAACACCCCAGCTTCCCAGCTGCCCTTTTTGTTTGCCACACCTAGCTCCTTTCCCCTTTTACTCTGGAAAAAAAGAAAAAAATAAAAAGCCTGTCCCAGGCACAGCAGGATGTCCTGCAGCATCCCTGGACTCCCCCCACCCCCTTGCAGTGGTGACAACCAAAAATGCCTACACACGTTGCCAAATGTCCCACATTGCAAGACTGCAGCTGGCCAAGAACCATTGCTCTTTAGAGGAAAAATAAACATTTGTGTTTGACATGAACTCCATTTATAAAGTAAGGCAACTGGTGTAGGCTCAGACACCGCTTGGTGACCTGACTGAGCTACTAAAAATGACCGCTAAAAATGCACCAGCTGAGTGCAATGGCTCATGCCTGTAATCCCAGCACTCTAAAAGGCCAAGATGGGAGGATCACTTGAGCTTGGGAGTTAGAGGCCAGCTTAGGCAACATAGGGAGATGCTTTCTCTACAAAAAGTAAAAGAAAAATTAGCCAAGTGTGGTGGCACATGCCTGTGATCCCAGCTACTCGGGAGGCTCAGGCAAGAGGTTTTCTTGAGCCCAGGAGGCTGAGGCTGCAATGAACCATGATTATGCCACTGCACTCCAGTGCGCGGAGTGAGATCTTAGGTGACAGAGTGGGATCTTGCCTCAAAAGAAGAGAAGATACCCTGATTTGTGGAGATGAAACACCTGTATACACAGCCTGGTTAACATTCCCCACCCCAGAGGTGTCTGTGATAAATACAGGTATGTATGCATGTGTTCATCTGGAACTACGGAGAATGAGAGCATACGCTCCTGAAGAGATGGGGATTATGGGCCATTTTCAGTTGTCCATTTCCCTAATTTGCTTTATGCATCTTCCTTTCAACTAGAAAAACTTCTGCTTTCAGCTCTGGCTTTCTGCTTTCTGACCACAGATTCATTGTCTTTAAATGTATACACTAAGTTAGGGTTCGAGGTTGGAATGCTTTCCCCAATGCACTGTTAACTTTCCAAAGGGGTTTTGACTTCTAAGCAGCAGAGAAAACAAAACAAAAACTATCCGTGGCCTGCAATCGAGCCAGGGTGTAATGTAATTTGGTTAAGAAAGACGGACTGCTCCATCTAAAGTACATATTTTAATTTTTTACGACTGATTTAATAATTGGATCAAATTTTCTCCCTCCACACTTACTTAGCTAGCTTTTAAATGATTATTTTTCTTTTAAAACCTAATTCCAAACAGGATTATAGAATCTACATATATATTCTTAGACTATTAGATACAAGGATGAGAATATTCTCTGAACGGATCCCTAACCCTAACAGCTGAATTTAATGTCCTCCAGCTCTGTGGGCTTCATCACACCAAAATCAAGAGAAACTGTCCATCAGGTGGATATCTGGATGTTGCGCTGCACTTATCTCTAAGCGGCTCAGTTGAAGGTGGTGGTGGCTGTTTTCATGGATTTTCTCCAGTTTTTTGACTCGAGTTACCTGGCCAGCAGTCCTCTGTAAGAACCACTGTTCCAGATAAACCTCACCACACACAAGGCTGGGAATAAAAATTCCTCCTCCTCTTTTTTCCAAAACCAGAACTAGATTTCACAGGAAGATGGTAAATTATGGATCCCCTACCCAAGGCTTTGTTTAATTTCTCACAAATAAATGTGCTGCTATGATAGTGGTATTCACAGGCTAGCAGAACTCTCAAGCAGACAGGGCCACAGCAAACCACATTTCTGGCTTGAGTGATTGGACACTGGTGTGCTGTTCCTGTCTGCATGACGTTTCCTAAGGCCAGTCCACAAGCACCTTCCTTTATGGAAGAGGAGGGACGTTTTGGAAGAAAGAAGTTAGATTCTTGACTAATGGAGACAAGACCCACGATTCTGGAAGAAGTCAGAGAAAGAGGAGAGAAGCGCAGGAGCTCTGTGTGTGCGCTGGGGGAGGACCTGCTCTATGAAAATAGTTTTTGACTTTTCAGGATGTGTCGCATGCGCCCCTCAGCCCAGGGCGTAAGGACTGCCCTCTGCACCAAGGTTCAAAGTGAAGTGCCATCGACAGCTATGTATTCCGTGGGGAGAAGTCTGCCTTTGTCTTCCGTGCCAAGAAAATTTTTGTGGGCAAATAACATGGAGCTTGGAATGTTCATGATTTATTACAATTACTACTTTTTACTGCAACTATTACTTCTTATGACAGTTACGACTTTATTACAATAAAGTTAGGGTCAATCAGGGCTAGAGTCCCCATCCCTATAGGCTTATTGGCTAGAGATAAGGTAGATCACGTCCTGAGACCCACAGAGAACAGGAAAAGATGTGGGAGTCAGGGAGACTTTGGCTAAGTGCCAGACACCCTAACTTCTAGGGGGAGCTCCACCACTTTCCTGCCCTGGGATTGTGGGTCAGTTACGTGGCTGTTTCCTCATCTCTAAACTGAGTATAAAATTGCCCTTGTGTCAAGGGGAGAGTGTAAGGAGTCAAAACTTTTATGGAGAGCCCGATGCACAGAAAATATCCAGTATGTGGGAGCTGGTGTCTTACTCAGCCCCTCCAGCCATTCCCCAAGAGTGACCTGAAAGGTCAGTAGGAGAGGATCAGGGAAACACACCTGCCTCACCCACGACCACTCAGGGCTCGACTTGTCCTGGCTCATCAGCAATGTCAAGCAGGCAAGGTGGCACACATGAAGCCCCCCAAAAAAGAACTACCACCAGAGGTCTGTGTTTGGGCATTCTTTTCTAGTACGTACAGCTGGAGACACAACCCGCATTCTAACACCTAACTGGTTTCCCGAACAGCATCCGTTTCCAGCCTGCGAGTTCTGAGAACTCCTGTGGATGTTTTCCAACTTCTCCAGTTCTAAAATAAAGGAAAGTTTTGGCAGCACTCACAGCTCCTCCTTGGCCCCAAACAGGAGGGGGAGGAGAGGGGAGTCTTAATTAGAGCAACTGTGTTTATTTTCTTGCCTGACCCAGCTTTGATTAAAGACACCTTCAATTAGGTTGATTTGAGGTGCTTGGAGTTGTGACTGCACAAAAAGGAAATAACCACCTTCCACTTCGGGTTAAAGCCACAACATTCTCTCACTGTGCTGCTTAAAGAAGGCAAAGAAGAAATTAGCATGGGCTGATGACATTTCTAAAGTTTCTCTGCAAAAGATAAGTAATTCAATATAAGCGATAATTTGGGGTTTAGAGCTGTCAAGAAACTGAAGGGAAAATTATTTATAGTCTTTCTTTTTTTTAAGCCTGGGTTTCAAGGTGACAAAAAGTCCTATTAATTCGTAGTTCCCTTCACCAAACAGTTCAGAATTCAGTCCCAGGAGAAATGGCTGTTTAAGAGTTTCATTTCATTGAGTATGTAGTGGGAGCATTCAACATGCCATCATTCTCTGGGAGAACACTGGCCCCAAACAACAAAATCTTAATTGCTGTTTTAATTATCTTAAAAAGTAGAATCACATGGGGCCTGCTGGAGAGCTGGTGCTGGTAGTTAAGGACAGAAAGGGCAAGTTTGTTTCTTGCCAAGAGGCCAGCAGTGTTCTGAAACAGCGAAGGAAGCACACACTGATGAAGGGGGCGTGTATTGTAGGAAGGGCAACGCAGGGAGCTCCTCTGACATCATTGGAGGGGAAGATTTATCTTTCAGCCATTTGCCCTATTATGTAAAGATCTTTAAGATCTTCAAAAGCAGCCCTCTGTTTCTGAAGGGACCTGAGAAAGTGAGTGTCATTTCTGCTGTTAGGCTGTTGGCGTCTGCGCTAGAAGAATCCATTGCTTGAAGGTATGGTCTGGACAAGGCTCAGGTCTTTGGGGCTCATCTCCATGCAGACTGAACCAAGCCAGGGCCAGTGGGAGATCTGCTTGAACTGACCTCAGCCTCTAAAGGGCACCTCTTTCTCCGAGTTGCTTCATGGAAATGAGCAAACTCTCCGCCCACTTGAAGGCAGCGGCTCTTGTTTTTTCTCTGCTCAGACATAAACTGAGTTTATTTTCATTTCACAATCAGCAGCCAGCTTAAGACCAAATTTTTAAAAGTATGTATGAAGTTTACATATAAATCCTAATACATCTTTCCTAACATCTGCTTGGGGAGCAGCTTATTTAGGAGCGGACACAGGCTTGTTTTCCCACTTTCCACGTCTTTTCATCCTATGTAATGGTAAAGAAGCCAATGTGTGCTTCTTGAAACAATTTCGTTGTCCAGTGACAGCACGATGAAATAAATTGCAGTGAACACATACGGAAACTATCAGGCTGCCATGAAGATGATTTTGGAAAGCAATACACGGCATGTATTGTATGCTAGCTAGGATCAGCCATGAGGGCTACGTGCTCAATACAATCGATCTCACCAGTCATAACTCCCAGAGATAAATATGACCATTACTCTTATTATTACCTTTTCATAGGCTTAACAAATAAAGGCTTAGGGAATATAACCACCTTAAACCCCAGTGAAGCCAGAATTTAAAGTTACGTTGCTTGACATTAAAGCTGTGCTCTCCCGCTGCAAGTTAAAAATTTCAAAGCTAGGTTAATGGAAAGATGTTTATGAGGCATCCCAAACTGGGTGGCAGGGGACGACAACAAACACAAAAGACCACCAGGGCTATAGTTTGATCCAAACTGTAGGAAAATACATACAGAGGAAAAGTTTAGAGAGAAATGCATGAAAATATTTTACGTTGCTTGCTTTCTTTCATGTACTTCTCTCCATTTACCCAGGATCAGATATATAATATAAAGCCAAACACAGTTACCTCATGCACAGGAGAAATTCAATGTGTGCTGGATTCAGTTAAATTGAAACTTATGTTCCCCAAGTACTGAAATAATACCTGTTCAAAACACTGATGAGAGAGAGATCCCCTCCCATCTTCCCTCTGACATTTAGAATATGGTTCAATGGCATTTCAAAAAATATTGACTGATATAACGGCCACTTTGGAAAAATTCAGTTCCTCAAAATGTTCAACAGAGGTACCATACGACCCACTCCTAAGTAAATGCCACAGAGAAATGAAACATATGTCCACACAAAAACTTGTATATGTGTGTTCATGACATCATTTTTCGTAACAGCCAAAAGGGAAATACAACCCAATTTCCATCAACTGATGCATGGATCAAATATGTTCTATCCATGGTCTGTCCACACAATGGAATATTATTCTGACATAAAAATAAATGATTCGTGCCATAATGCACATGAACCTTGAAAACATTATATTGAGGGAAAGAGCCAGTCAGAAAATTCAAATTCACTAATACATTACAAATTTTGTTTTCATTAACAGATTATACCTTTCAAATATTTAAGTGAAGTAATATTAAAATACTTATACATGTTTAACTTGTTAAAACAATCTACATATGCATATGTCTGGTTTTAAACAAAAGTACTTCAAACAGTAAGCTGCTTACTTTAATGAAATTTAAGTCTATCATTTTAGTTCTACTTGGTTCCCTTAAAACAGTAAATAAAAAACCTTCCTCAAAATTCCATCTTTATGCTTTAAAATTGCTCAAGTTCTATAGGGTTTTTCTTTAGAACTAAAAAGGCATTAGAGAAAGAGACAGAAAATTAAGTAACAATTAAGTAAAATGAAACTAAAATCCCATGTACCAAAAGGTAGTAAGATAACTTGGGGGCACAGGTCTGTTTCAGTTTGGGCTATGGGTTTCTCAACTCTTCACACCTGTGCACATACAACTGTTTGGTTTGCTGGTCAGGAAACCTTAGCATCTCACCAGATTTACACAGTCATCTCCATGATCTTCTAATAAGTTTCAAAGTTGACTAGCAAATCAATTTGGAGACAGACACAAATTATATTAAGAAACTAATAAAGCATAGAATTAAGATACAGGAGCCAAATAAAATCGATACGCATGTGCCCAATTATAATTAAGTTGTCTGCATAATTATACTTCATAATGTTGACAAGAGAGGTTGATTTTAGAAGGTGTCATCCTCACCTGGTAAGACACAGAAAAACTTGTTACAGCTCATTCAGGATCCAAAATTCTCAGAAGGCAGGCCAGGCGCAGTGGCTCACACCTGTAATCCCAGCACTTTGGGAGGCCGAGGTGGGTGGATCACTTGAGCTCAGTTCGAGACCAGTCTGGCCAACATGGTGAAACCCTGTCCCTACTAAAAATATTTTAAATATTAACCAGCCATGGTGGTGGGCACCTGTAAACCCAGCTATTTGAGAGCCTGAGGCAGGAGAATCACTTGAGCCCAGGAGGTGGGGGTTGCAGTAAGCCAAGATCGCACAACTGCACTCACTCCAGCCTAGGCGACAGAGCAAAGAGTCTCAAAAACAAACAAACAAACAAACAAAAAAACCCCAAAATTCTCAGAAGGCATTAGTCAATTCCTCAATTGAAATTGACTATGCCGCTCATAATGATTGAATGGTGGCCTGTCTACTACCTTCAACCTTTAGCAAGGAGAAAGACCTGCCACTCCCCCTGAAAATATCATTTAAAACAAGGGGTTCTTGTTTGGCAAAATGCAGTTCTGCTCCTCAAATGGGTTTTGGGTACAAGGACAAGGATCCAATGGCACATTGGGCTGCTTACCTTATGCTGATTTCATGTGTGGACCTGTGGACCAGCAGGCTTCCCAGCATCCGGTCACAGAAAGAGCAAGGTGTCTGTGGGCACCAGCCTAGGGAGAAAGGTTTAAATAAAAGACTTAAAAAAAATCACTGGGGTGTGTTTACCTCTCACCCCTCCGGTTCCTTTAGGTTTTTTCTTCATCCTAACTCAAACTTAACACATTTTATTGGTTCTTAATTTCTGCCTTAGTTAATAGCAGAGATTGTAGGGTTTTGTTTGCAAAGTGAAAAAAGGAGAAATTAAAAATGGCCAGTCAGGCATTATTGTGCATGTAGAAGTTCTGAAATAAAAGAGTCTGAAAATAGATAAAATTAATATTAATTAGCTCAGCTATTGCTACTGCTATTACTTAATGATAATTTAAAGATTTAAATTAATTTTAAATTAAATTAAATTTAAAGATAAATAAAGGTTCCCTTGAAATATCGTTGTTTTTGGAACAGAGCCTTATGCAGCTGATACACGAACCTGTGCACACCCTTGGGAGAAGACAACATGCTTTAGAGAAACATTCCCCATCGCCTGGGCTAGCTTTCCAATAACTCTGGCAGCCAGGTCTTGTACATATACCCAGTCTCGTGTGCTTAGAAAAACACGGAAATGGGGCAGAATCCTGTCTCCTTTGCCTCCCCTAAAATCAAGAAAACCAAGAGCACCTACTGACGTCTCAACTTTTCATTTACTCTTCGCAGACATTTCTGTTTCACAAGGGTTCCGTTTGCACTGATTTATGAGGAAGCCAGGTTTATAGCTCATGAAATGATAATCCTTTATATCAAAAATTGTTTTTATTTTTCAGTCCCTATAAATACAGCCAACCATTTACCTAACGATATTTAGCTTATAAAATTTCTTTGGTTGTGAATGACTCCAGCTTCCTAGAGAGTATCGATTATCCTCTACCATCTACAAATTCAAGAACTAAGGAAATTAAATGCCCACCATTTTCTCTAAATTCTTATTTAATAGTCTTAAGTGATAATAAAAAGGTACCAGGATTAATATAATTGAAGTCCACAAGCGAAGCTATGAGTGAAGGTGTTTCTTATTAGGGAGTTTATATAGAAGCTCAAGTGTTTTAAGGAAATTCAAGTAAATAAATTATTCCCACTGAGTCATGCTTACAGTTATGTTGTTTAAAGAAAGGAGATTACAAAATTCTACAAGCAGGTTCACAGGCCCCTAAATTGCATTACAGTACATTGAAAACAAAAACCATAAGGATATTCAAGATCAAAGTAATAACCAGGGCAGTTTGTAAAAAATCTACCACTGAAGTAAAATAATGAGAGTGAAACTAAATTCATCTGTAACTCTGAATAGAAATGAAAGGGGACCAGGGAAGCAGGCACAAAGGAATCTTGATTTTGCTTATAAAATTTACTTTTAATTATGAAAAAAATATGCAGTGGAGATGAAACAGGACACCACTCCTTATAGTGAGCTGGAGAGACCAAATTACTGTTTTCAGGATTGGGTTATAAGTTACCAGGGGAAAAAATAGGCTTATGATGAAATTGCTAAATATCATAAAGTATCAAAATATGAGCAGATGTCACCACAATAAGTTCCAAATTGCTTGTAAATTAAAACATTAAAACCCACAATAATTCAATAAGTAATTAATATACAAACAGCTCTTATTACAAGCTGTTCAGAAGAGAGCTTGCAATCAAATTCCTATTCTTTGGTCCAAAACAGATGGTAACCCACAAATGAGAGTCTTGAAATTTGAGATTATCTCTTATATATGTTGTTAAATTCAATAAGTATAATTAACTTATAATCTGTGTGTGATCAGCACAAAAATCGGAATTATGACTCTGGTTAATAACATTCTTCTGCTTATGCAACATGTCAAAAATAATTAGTTGATTGCTAGAAACAATAAATTTAAATGAGAAATCAGACCTTCCAACACCTGGTCATTACTGATTTTCCCATTATCAGTACACAAATAGAACCACAATAAACAGCCCTGGCAAGAAAGTTTACATATTGCCAAATATTTGTGTGAAATGCAAACGATTTTAACAAATGCCATATGCTCTTTGTTTTTACAGCTAAATAAATGCTGATATGTGACAAATATAAAAAGGATTCTAATTTTCTGGTAGTCCTCTGCTCTTGGCGTGATGTGCCATGCATGTATAGTGACAGTCCCTTCACATTGAACGTGGAGAGGTTTTGAAGGGGCTAAGCTGATACAACACAGCATGGACCTGCTTCTCCATAGACATTAGGTTAGAATAGAGCTTATGGTGCTACGTACATTTCTTCAAGAAACAGAATTCAAACACTGTAATCAAATAAAATGCAAGATAATTTAGAAACTGCAAATCCACCAGCTCTGCTCCTCCCCAAAACACTTCTCTTTTTCTTTCAGTTGCACAAGCACACCTCATTTAGAGACCCCAGGTGTTCCACTACTAGGTTCTTGCCAATGGTAGGTGAGGAGAGCTGGGAAAGGACGTGCACAACTTGTGGTCATGGGGTTGTCTGACAGACCATCTGACCCTTAGCAAGGCAGGATCGTAACGCTAAAGGAACCTTGATCCCCTGGTGCTCTTGGGGATTTGACACCTACCTTCTAGGACTACTGCCTGCCTTTGTCTCGATTTTCTGTATTTTGACGTTTAGCCTATTCCCTAAGTAGAATACAGAATCCCTGGGCGACGATATCCATTTTCCTCATGGCATCTTGTGTTTCCTTCCATCACATCATCTGTAACACACATTACAGCTTTCCTACCTGAACAGGAGGAAGAGTCCTGTCTTCTTCAAGTTCACTTCTACAGTCCAGGCCTGACAGGTAACATATACTTCATAAACGTTAGCTTAATGAATGATGTACCATACATAACCAATCAAAACATTAGAGTAGCTGATCACATACATTAATACAGATTTCGGAAGTCCTCTACACATTCATTTCTTCATGATGTCTGCCTTAATTCTATTGTGAAAATTCAGAAGAAAATGCAGCATTTTCACATGGATATTGGAATTCAGAAAAGTTCCTGTGGAGTTATTTTTATTGGCATCTTTGAGGATGTTCTTGGGGGAAGCATGGAAATTTCAAGAGATAGTTTAAAAGAAAAGGACACAGAATGGTCTGTTACTGTTTTCCAATGCTATTATCTCCAAGTGCAAGCACCAGTTATCACTCCATTGGTGTCTGCATTTATGAGTAGAAAGTCTTTGTATATTTCCTTGAACTGGTGCCTCACCAACAGTGTCATTTCAATGCTCAATGTGTCTGGAAATAGACCTAGGCATATGTAAGCCAGTCACATACAGTTCATTTTCCACCTTTTAATTCTTCATACAACTATTGTTTCATAGAGTCGAAGGGTTACAAAGTTCCCGCCAAATGTTGTCCAAATTCAGCAGCACCCTCAGCTAAGTTTCACCCTGTATGCAAATTAACTGGTTTGTTCTCATTCAATTATAAATCCTGTACATCATCTTTCAATTGTGCTTTGTGAATTTCTCTGCAGATTTGTAAAACCACTGTAAGGGATTTTTAAATTGAATATAAGAAATAATGATCTAAAGCACTGAGAGACTCTTCTTTTAAATACTATGTTTTCAAATTTAGAAACCGGCATTCCTCGAAAGCAGTCATTTTGAGAAATTATATTCTTTTCCTTTCAGGAAAGAATTAGCAACTTCAAAGACTCCCCTTTTCATGGAGCCTTCAGAACCCATTCACCTAAGAAAAATCAGAACATCAAACCTCAGGCCCAACATAGACATTCCCCTGGACCCTACATGGTTGTTTTGTTTGTTTGTTTGTTTGTTTTGTTTTCAGTTGGGATAAAAATAACAACATAAAATTAACCATTTTATTATTTCTTTTAAAAAATTTATTTTTTAAAATAGAGATGGGGGTCTTCGTATGTTGCCCAGGCTGGTCTCGAACGCCTGGCTTCAAGTGATGCTCCTGCCTCAGCCTCCCAAAGTGCTGGGATTACAGGTGTTAGCCACCGAGTCTGGACAAACTAAAGTGTACAATTTAGTGGTACGTGCAGATGTTAAGCAACCACCACCTATGTCAAGTTCCAAACCGTTTTCAATCACCTGGAAAGCAATTCTGGTGCCCACTAAGCAGTCACTCCCATTCCCTCCACCCCCAGGCCAGGGGACCACAGAATGCTTTCTGGCTCTATGAATCTCCCTATTTGGGGCACTAAATGAGATCATACAATCTGTGACCTTCCACATCTGGCTTCTTTCATGCATCCATGTTGTAGCACGTCCCAGGGCTTCACACTATGCTACTGCATGGGGCTGGACAACATTGTGTTTTTCCAGGAAGCAGCTGACAGGCACCTGGCTCTGGTCAACCATGCTGCTGTGAACATTCGTGTCCTTGGGGCATCTGGCTAGCAGTGGAATTGCCTGGCATCGTTCTGCCTTTATTCTTCTTTACCTGAGTCTCCTCTTCCCCAGGAATGAAAAGTACACAGGACGGGCGGAGGGATGCCAAGCTGCAGTGAGCCAGGACCTGGGGAAAGGAGCAGATGGCCTAGGGCCAGCAGGCAGGGTGGCCAACAAAGGGGATGGTCGCACAAGGAGGAGACTGGAGCCTGCCCATGTAAGAGCCATAGCCAGCAACGGCTGCATGCCAGAGCCCTGCTTGGCCAGCACTGTCTGCTTGACAAGCTCATGCTGTGTGCAGGGGTGCACACGCTCACTACTCCCTGGCTGCCACTGCAGACTGAGCATTCCTCCACATAGATCAAATCTCTACCAACCATTTGCCCAGTGACAACAAAGGATGTGCCATTTTCTGCTTGGAGCAAACAAAGCTACCTTCCCACTCAGAAGCACATGTATTACACATGTAATCCCAAATAAAAGCATGTGATTGACATCACGTTTCTGTATTTTCATACAGTGTTTTGGAGCAGGGTGACGGTGCCCGCCCCCACCCCCATCTCCCAGGAGATATTAGGCTATGTCTGGAGATATTTTGCAGTGTCCCAACTAGAAGTGGAGGTGATACTGGCATCTCTTGATAAAACAGAATCAAAATTGTTTTTA